TAGGAAAAAAAGTTGTCTTTTTCTTTTCTGTCCCACTTGATTCACACAACATAGACTTAAATTGTTTTTTTATTGGGAAGTAGTAACCACATTTAGATTTTAGGTGTTGAAATTTTAGCTGCTTTTCATTTTATTTTTTGTTAAATTAAATTTATTTTCTGTTTCTAAATGATTTTTTTTAATCGGCTCTAAATGCTATTTTTTATATTCCAATTTTTTTGGGTTATGCATTTGTGACTTGTGTTCTTGTCTTCTTGGGAGATATTTGAGGTTGATTTAGCCATTTGAACTTAAATATGTAACATCGCCATCTATATTATTGCTTTATCACGGTTTGGTGTCTATGTTACCGAGGCCTTGTCTCTTGCCTCGCTACTGGGCCATGGGCAATCGTGTTGTGTTGCCTTTTAAAACTATGGATATTTGTAACTGATATACTTCGAAGTTTTAACTCATTTGAAGAGTCGTGGAAAATCAGTAATGTTAATAAAACTGTACAGTGAATATAAAATTTGTGTTCTGGACTATGTCTAGACTGTCGTTTTGAACTTTACATATTCATGGAATCAGGTGAAGTTCTACTTTCGAGCTGTAAGCAACAGATTCTAGGTGTTCATAATTTTGTAAGCGACAGATGCTAGGTGTTCATACTTTCTGTTGCCTCTGTCCAGAGTCTCCCAAATGAATGACTAGAATACCTTGGGTACCTCTTTACCCGTAACTGGATATGCAATGTGTGTGTGTGTGTGTGGGTGTGTGTGTCTGTGTGAAGGAAATCCTAACATTGAATATTTTGAAAGCATTATTTTTTGTGGTAACATGTGATGGTTTTGAATTTGTCGCTCCTGCATTCAGGGAGAGGTCAATTGGTAGGTCTACTTTTTGCCTATTTTTCTTCTCATGAATTGTGGTGTTATATTTGTCTTTCGTCTGGTTTTACTTCAAACAAGTTGTCGAGGCAGTTATTGATCTTTTTTATGTCTTTGGTAGATAGAAAGATTTGTGGGAATTGGTATCAAGATTGTTGGTATTTGTGGTATGTCAGGAGAAAAGCGAAGTACTGGACCAGCAGGGCCAAGGAGAGGACGGACATTCTGTTCAGGCTTACGCAATGAGATTTCGAAAATATAAAAATTGCTGTATCATCTATAATCCAACTGAGGTGCCGCTGACACCAGATGGAGTACTTGATGTGGGAATCCTTGACTTGTCATGGAAGGAAAACTTGATGGAAGTATGAACCCTCACTAACTGTTCATTTACTTTGTTTCACATAATCCTCTCTTTTTTCCTCTCCATCTTTTCTATTTGTTCCCGTCGTCCCAACTTTTCTGTGAGCCATTGCACAGCTGTAAATTCTACTTTTTTGTTGGCTTTGATGACTGGTTTATCCTTGCTTCATGTGTCCGTGCAATATGATTATTATGATGGCATCTACTGTCTCTGAGTGAAGCGGTGCGAGGTTCTTTTCTTGATGCTATGTTCATACTTGGTTTACTTACCTATTACGTCTTCTTGTGATTCAGGAGAATATCTTCTACACAGTCCTTCCGGGAACCATGGAGACCTACAGAAGTTCAGTTGAATCACATGTGGCCCAGTTTCAGGTAAATGCTTTATTCAGCTAATGTATGTGTTATGCCTTGCAAGATTACTATATGTTAAATACTTAAAATGTTAAATATGTTCACTGATCAACTATTCCTGAAGCTAACAATAAAATTGTTCTGATGTGAAGTGAATAAGTCAAACCATAATGTAGGCATTTAAAGTATTGTTCATTCGCATGAATATTTTATTGGCTCTCTGAAATTCTTTATGCATGCGTTTAGAAAATAGCGGGTGGCATGATAGAGGAAGTGGAAACATCCACATGCGATGCCGCTGAAGGTAAAATTGGTACTGTTGCTGCATGAATCATTTTCTATTTGATATTTCTGTTAATACAGTGTTCCCTTTGACCGAAAGCTTTGATTCTTATGATTATGCAGATGAGAATGAGAGAACAGATACATATGACATGTCAATGGCCTTTGATGATAGCAAGAATTCTGGATTCGGGCCAAAAAAGCAGAAAGACGTGATACATGCATATGGTTCCAGACCATATGAAGTAAGCTCTGATGTATCACACATGCAAGGTGCTGAAAACAAAGCTGTGCATCAATCGGCTTTACTGGGAAAACGGCCAGTTGGCAACCTCAATGCATCAATCCCCACAAAACGTGTTCGAACTGCTTCTAGGAGAGTTGTTAGCCCTTTTAGTGCAGGAACATCTGGATTCCCTCCGGCAAATAAAACAGATGCTTCTAGCAGTGATACCAATTCATATCAGGATGATCAGAATATACTGCAAGGGGGTTCGCATACTCCATATAATGTGGAAGTTGAATCAGCTGTGAAGTTTGAGAAGAAATTAGCAATTGGATCTGCTGAAGGATTGATGAAACATAAAAAGAAGAAAGCAAAGCATTTGGTATGCAATAATGTAAAGTCTAGTGGATTTGCAGTAATTTTGTCTACTGAAATTTTTATTTGTTTCCTTCTTTCCTTTTATGTTTGCCAGAATGCTGCATACGAGGCGAGATGGCAGGTTGATTCTACATTTCAAAATGAGGAGGTGAATCTCGTATTATCATTTAATGTTACCTCTTTTGTCTTCTCCTTTTTGCACAGAAGACAGAAGTATGAAACAAAGTTTAGCAAGCGTTATGTATGCCTTTCGTGTGGGGTATTTATCTGTTATAATTTTATGAAACATCTTCTACCATTCTCTCTTTTTATGTACATGGTATGTTACAGTGCATTGAAGTGCATCTTAGTACTTAACAGCTGGGAGGAATTTTCTTAGATTATATCCATCGGATTTACTATCCATTTATATTCACCTGAGAAACAAAGTGGCAATTGTTATGTTGTCGTACATTCCTATTTCTATCAGGGATGGTACTTTTTATTCTCATAATTATTTGGCAAATGTGAGGTAAATGTTGCATCATACTAATCCCTTTTTTTGCAGTTTCAGAGAGATCACTTGAGGAAGAGTCATCAAAATGAAAATAATTGCACCAGTGGTAACATTTGTCACTTTCAAGTTAATGGTGGTGTTTGGACGGATTACATTTTATACGATGTTTGATGTGTTATATATAACTTATGATTTATGAAGGTTTATTGGGTCAACCCATGGCAAAGAAGCAGAAAACTATGCGGCAGTCACAGGATTACTCTTTTGAGACTATTACACCAATTGGTGGGTCTGTACCTTCTCCAGTGGCTTCCCAAATGAGTAACATGTCCCATTCAAATAAGTTCGTTAAAATGCTTGGTGGACGAGATCGGGGTAGGAAACAGAAGCTTCTGAAGGTATATTTTCCATTATTTGCCATCGTCTTTCACTTCCACAGGTTATATGTTAATCGTTTGATGCAAACACAACGCTAAGCAATTTCATTTCTTTTAGATGTCTGCTGGCCAGCCAGGTTCAGGTAGTCCATGGACACACTTCGAAGACCAGGTTGATTTACTAAACTGCATGTGTATGTACATGGTGGAATAATGAGGTGTGTTACTAATTAATTTTATAAAAATCCTTTTAGGCTCTTGTTGTCCTTGCTCATGACTTGGGCCCGAATTGGGAGCTCGTCAGTGATGCTATGAACAGTACTCTTCAGTTCAAGGTAAGGGCCTTTATCCTTCTTGATGAAGGTTTCCATATTCAACCTTTATTTTGGATGATATATTTTATCATGTAAATCATATTGTTTGTTTCACGTGAGCAGTGCATATTTCGGAAATCCAAGGAGTGCAAAGAGAGACACAGTTTTTTGATGGATAGAACTTCTGGCGATGGAGCAGACAGTGCCGAAGATTCTCGATCTTCTCAACCTTATCCTTCTACATTACCTGGCATTCCCAAGGTGAAATGATTTCTATTGTATCTTGTTTAGCTGCTTGCATCCTACAGCAATGAGTGAAAGCCCGTCTGCCATACGGATTTTACCAGTTGCTTCAATCTCAGAATATGTATATTGATAATAGATTGTAATATGCCTATTTATCTACCTTAATCATCAAATCTGATAGCTGCTGCTACTAATGTCTTTTCTACTTCATATAGGGAAGTGCAAGACAGTTATTTCAACGTCTACAGGGGCCAATAGAGGAAGATACCCTCAAATCTCATTTTGAGAAGATCATCATTATTGGTCAGAAACAACATTACCGCAAAACACAGGTATCACTTTTGAAATTAGTGTGATGTTGACATCCATAATTGTGTCTGATAAGGCTTGAGCATGTCAAAAGGCGAAACTAGAATGAGGATTCCATTAGCTGATCTCTGTTTCCTTAATGTATCTCGTATTAACTATTATGATATACATTTATTTGACATGATTTTGTTTAAGAATGATAACCAGGAACCAAAGCAACTCCAGCAACCTCACAGTTCTCACACCATTGCTCTTCAACAAGTTTGTCCGAATAACTTGAATGGAGGACCCGTTTTAGGGTAAGCTATACAGTTGATTAAATGATGTGATTGAAATTGGAATAATTGTGGCTGGAATTGGATGCATCTGTTTTTAACTGACTACCGAGTTTTTTTCTGTCTACTTTTTTGTTCTCCTAAATTCCCCAACACTTGCTCCTCTGAAGCCCTCTGGACCTGTGTGACTTCATTGCTGAGAATGATATACTTCCCCTCGGACATCAAGGGCCCCATTCTGGTGGATTAACCATTCCAAATCAGGGAACTGTGACTCCAATGAGTCCTGCATCAGGTTTCACTTCCTCATTGCAAGGGTACCCATCTTTGATAGTAGGCAGTAACTTTCCATCATCCCCATCGTCTCTCAATTCCTCACTCAGGTAATGTACGACCTGTTAAGGGCCTCATCAATCCTGAATAATAGGCGAACTGTTCTGAACCTCACTGCCTTTAATAGAGATGCTAGGTACGGGCCTCCCAGACCTGCACTATTGCCAGCTGATGAGCAGCAGCGGATGCAACAATATAATCAGATGTCTGGCAGGAGTGTGCCTCAACCCAATGCTTCTTCTCCTGGAGCTCTTGCAGGGACCGAACGTGGTGTTCGTGTGCTTCCTGGTGGCAGTGGCATGGGTTTAGTGAGTGGTGTTAACCGAGGTATGTCGATTACTAGACCTGGTTTCCAAGGAATTACATCACCACCTGTTGTCAATTCTGGAAGTGTGGTCTCCCCTGGTATGCCACCACCGAATATGCATTCTGGAGTGGGCTCTGGTCAGGGAAGTTCAATCTTGAGACCTCGTGAAGCTTTGCACATGATGCGAGTATGTTAAATGTTAATTTTCTACTTTCTAGTCTTACGCTTGTTGTCTTGAAGTTCTTGGAAATGCTTTTGGTGAAACAAGTATGCTTGTGTTTTTCAATTGAATCAAATTCTATATATCTAATGTTCCCATTTTTAAGATTGGTTCCCAATTGAATCAAATTCTATATATCTAATGAAAACAACCAACAACACCACCACCAACAACAACAACAACATCAACAATAATGATAATGATGATGATGATGATACTGTTCCATCTGTGTTTTTAGTAGCATAATAAAGATAATCTGATTTGCAGCCTGGTTTGGGTCAGGATTCACAGAGGCCAATAATGCCGGCTGACCTTCAAATGCAGGCCCCACCAGGAAACAGCCAAATGTCCCACCACATTAGTGGGTTGAGTTCCCCTTTACCTAACCAGACTGTATCTCCACTGGTGCCATCATACCCTCTTCACCATCCATCATCTCCCCAGCATCCTCAGGTACTTAGTCCACGTCATCACCCACATTTGCCTGGACCCACCACAAACCAACAAGCCTATGCAATGCGCCTGGCTAAAGAGAGGCAGCAGCAAAACCGTTCCGTACACCAACCCCAAATCAGTCTGTCAAATTCAACGACTCCACATAATATCCACCCATCACCTCAACTCCCCTTGCAAAACAATCCGCAAGTTCAACCCCAGATGGCTACTCCACCAGTATCACTTTCCCCTACGAATTCAATGAATCAGCAAGCACCCGTTCAGGGTAATGCGCCAGTTGGCAGCACCCATCAGATCACCAAGCAACGGCAGAGGCAGAAACAGAATCAATCAGCACAAGCCAATAGGCCACATCCTCAGCAGAAGCAACAAACACAATCTCAACAGCTGGCCAATAAAAATAAGGTGGCCAAGGGAGTTGGAAGAGGGAACTCTTTGCAGCAACCAAATGTCTCGATCGACCGTGCCCCCATGAACGGGGTTTCTGCCACTCCAGGAAAATTCGTTCCTCCACAAAAAAACTATCCAGGCCAAGGTGCACCATCGACCAAGAATTTACATCACGTGGCCTCTCTTACAGATAAGAACAGCTTAGGTCATGTCCAGGTGCCTGGTTCAAACCACCCACAGACATCGTCCCACCAAAAGTCGGTGACTACTAATCAGTTGCATGTTCAAAGAGTGGTTCAACAGCCGAATAGACCGCAGGCAAAAGATCCCAGTAATGATAAGCATCTGACGAGCAGCTCAACTGAGTTGGACCAAATGATGACATTACCCCCTTCCACAGTCAGTGCAAGTGCTCATCAGTGGCAGGCTTCAGAACCAATATTGGATCAAACCACTCTAGGCTCGGGTACAAATACGAGTTCAGTGCCTTTGAAAGCAAGTGGGTCTGCTGCTCAGAACTCACAGCAGTGACAGCTGTTGCCGCAACATTTGCAGCTGAGGGGGGAAGCTCTTCAATTACTGAACCAGAATTTGTGTGGTGGGCCTGGTGACTGTGTAGATTCGAATTAGGCCTGTAAAAAAGGAATGGTGCGACAGAGATTGTGCTGCTGGTCCGCGTCCGGTCGGCATATGCTTGGGATGTCGGTACACAGGTTAGTGTCATGCATCATAACAGTATTTGGGGGTATTTTCTCTGATTGGCATATGTTTATGCTTAAGGCCACTTGCATTTTTTTCAGTGAATCTTGTGGGCATGATTCGTGGTATGGCCAAGTTTATAGTTATAATGCAAATCATGACGACCGCACTGGGCAGTTTGAATATGGTGAATATTATACACTAGAAACGAGCTGGGGCTTCCGAGAAGATAGAGACAGTAGAGGTAGATTTGTACAGTTTCCTGTCTCTCTCCTTTTATAGCCTTTTCTTTTGTTCCAATATGCCCATTTGTTTTTCTGCTCGGCCAAAAGGGGCATATTGTTTTGCGCTTGCATAGATCAGTCGTCGTATTTTGCTCCCTGTATGTTGGAGAGGGTTAGCTATGAATTTTTTTTGTGAATACGTTAGTGTCGTTATCTTTAGTTCTGCCTGTTGAAATATTGACACGCATCCTTAACTTCCTCGGCTAACTGTAAATTCTTCAAACAGCTAAATGAAAAGGTCTTGTTCTTGCCTTTTATGATCAGTTGATCACAATTTGCCCTTTTCCATGTCTTTTTATTGCTGAATTTTGTTAATTGTGCATTTGGTCTTTTTGGTTGTATTAAATAATTCAGATTTTGCCTTAGGAAATTGGGATATGCTTGAACTTAGAGGTGAGAATTTATCATAATATATAATTTCCTTGTAAGTTTCAAGGGTTTAATTTAATATTCATCTTCTGTTACTGCTGGTCAAATTAAAATGAAACATTGCATGCCGATTGATCTTTTCTTGATTATTTGAGCTCGTGGAATGGAAGGGGAACTAACTCATGCCGTATACAAAAACCACCGAGAAATGGGAAATGCTGAACGTGGATTAAAGAATGTCCTAATGAACACGGAAATTTTCAGCTTCCTTTTCCCCGTCGTTAAAATCACGTCCTGGTATAGTTGATGTAATAACTCATGCATGACTAACATGAAACAATTATCCTGGTATAGTTGATGTAATAATTCATGCATGGTTAACAGGTAACAATTGTCCTGGTATAGTTGATGAAAGTATGAATCTTAGTGAAAATTACATCGACAGGACTTGTGGAAGTTACACGGTTACCCCTCAGGTTTCGGTCTCTGTTAGATACTGCTAATTATGATATTTCGATACACGGGTTTTCAGATGCTTGTCCTTTATGAATTATGATTAGAAAAGGGGGATTAAAAAGACAAAATTTCCTAGGTTTCTTTGAACTTCACAAGTTGCATGCTTTTTTTTTTTTTTTTTTTTTTTTTTTTTTTTTTTTTTTTCCTTATGCAATTAGGTTGAATAGACCAGAAATTTTGAATATGACACTTACAAGTTTTGCCTAATTAGAGCTTGTGTTTCAACAAACTTGTAACAATGACGACGTCAATGTAAGTGTTCGACGACGTCTACCATACTAATTTCGTGATGAAAATAAATCCTAATTACCATTAACCTTCAAGCATTGTCCTTGGCTACTTTTACATTTCAATCATCAACATAACAATGCTCTACAAAGGTTTTATTCAATTTACAATCCATAGATTCACCAACAAATCCATGAATCAAAAGAAATGTAATACCATTTGAAAAACTTTATAAAATATTTGTTACAAAAATGTAAGGTTTGAGAAGATATATGGGACTCGATTGGTCATTTAATTTTGGCATCCATCTATGTATTGGTGGCCTACCAATTTTTTTATTTTTTATTTTTAATCAAAATCCGTGTAGTACACATGTATTGTATTGTATAGTATACGTGGACAACACCTAAAGATAGGACCAGGTCCGTCAAGTCAATCTCAGAGACTATTAATATGATCTCTAACTCAATTTCACTCGATGGATCCACATTAATATTAAAATGGATCATAAGAACAATTTACTAAGGTCATATCCAAACCGAAAAAAAAAAAAAAAATCATTTTCAAACACAAAATGCGTAACTATTATATCAAACAGTAAATCATCACCACTCGATAATATTTTTAGAATATTCTCTTTCACATCAATTTTTACAGTTTTTTGCTGTTACCCCCATATTTAACAATTCTACAAATAAGACTCATTACTATTTATATTTAATCGAATAAATCAATAGCATGAGTCGAGTTTTTTCACATTTTGTTTTTCATATTCCTCCGGTATTCATCATCCAAGTATAACGATTCCTTCTAGCATGATTACCTTATTCAAATCTGCATGTGTAATTTTTAGGCATTTAGACCTCACTTGTTCTGCAACCAGATACACCTAAACAGTAAGAAAATGTAGCTTAGAAAGGTGGTTCGGCTTCGACCCCGGCCCGGGCGGGGATTGCACATACACTTTCAAGTGAAAAGAAAATGTGCACTTACACTTTGAAGTAACATAACTCATCCACCTGAACAGCACAAATACATAAGAAATGTACCATCTCAGGGGCACATGACATCATCAGACAACAAATACTAGACCAGCCAGCATTTCATTCTGTGGTGACGAATACTCCAAGCTAAGCTACGGAACCATTACAAGAGGATAGATTACGGCGCATAAAATATACGATAACCAACGGGTTAAACTAAAATCCCGAAAACAGATATAACATTCTAATACCAAGAAAAGAAAAACTGAACAACTACATGCCATTGCATAGACAATCATAAAAAGTATCTTCGATCATTGATCGGTAGTGGTACTCCAAGCTATTTAGACCCCATATGTAACAACCGGACAACTACATGCCATAATCATCAAAAGTATCTTTGATCAATACTCGATAGTTGTACTCCAAGCAATTCAGACTAAACCAACTACAGGACAATGTAAAGATAACCATAAAAAAAGATAACCATAAAAAAATATCTTCCATCAGTACTCCATAGTTTTACTCCAAGCAATTCAGACCAAATAACGGAGAATCGAGCAACTACACACCATTGCAAAGATAATCATAAGAAGTATCTATCATCAATACTCAATAGTTGTACTCCAAACTATTCAGCTAGAACAAATACAAAAGACAATGGAACGTGAACTCCATTTCAAAGGAACAACAAAACAAAACCTAATTTACCACAAAAATCGAGTGCGATTTTCAAGCCATTTTTAGCTCCGTGAGCGCACTCCTCTTCATTTCGAATCGAACCATTT